GAAAATATGCAACGATAATGACCAACAAAAAAAAGAAAATAAGAGACACGTATATACACATAATCACGTTTTTCACGTTATCGTTAAACATTTTTTCTTCCTAATCCGTCCTCTACTTAGAAACCTCACCAAGTCGTTAATTATAAAATCATTAAGTATGTACATATATACATAGATACATACATACATACATATATATATATATGTGTATATATATATATATATCGTATTTTTTAAATCCACGCATTTCTTCTCGGCATCCTTCATTCATGTGAATAAACATCATGCACGAGTTTTTACGAGAATTCTTTGTAATTTCTATTCTAAAAATGTGTCGAATATATTCACAAAATACTATGTGTACACATATATGTCTAATACAGAATGCTCCTTTTATACAAACGAAAAAATGTTTCGTTTTCTCTTGAAATGTAAAGAAAAAGTATTTACGGAAGTAAAAAAATTTGTAATTAAAATCTGACTCGGGCAGCATTATATGTATTTATTCCTGATTTTGTTATTCAATTAATTGAATTATTTCTATTACTACAGTAATCATTTTGTTGGAAAACGTATAAAATAAAAGATTTATTTTGTGAACCTTGTTTAAAAAAAAAATAAATTACTTTCTAGAACATTTAACTATACTTTCTAATAATTAAAAAAATTATTTTAAAAAACGGAATGTGAGAAAGTGAATTATTTCATTTGGCATAAAAATAATGATGTGAAAAATGAAAGAAAGGAAGAATTTTGAATTTAATTCATTATAACAAGATCAAACAAATAGAACGGAAGTTAAAAATCTTTTGATAATGGTTTCGTGTTGATTACTCGAAAACTTCTCAGAATGCGATTTCAATAAGCGACTACTCTAGGAATCATAAACTAACGGATATGAAACAATTTAGTAGGGATGAATCGCATCGCGGAATCGCTCGTGGGGATCAAGCCGTAGCGTTTTACGCGCGAGAACGCAGAGTCGCGTGCGTCCAAGAGTCAACGTTTCGTCGAGTAGTTCGTTTCCGGTATACGCAGAATCAATTTCCGTTGAGTAAATAGCTCCTGGATACTTCGAATCTGTTATAAACGCACGCACCTGTATTGTTTCCTTCGTCAACGTACTGAATGGTACATCCTAGTCGAATCTTTTGCGTTATAATTTAAAAATAAATCAATGATAAAATAGCAAAAATTCGTACAAAAATCGTCCTTAGTTTTTTCTACGAAAGAAAATAAATTTTTATGAATCAGAAACAGTGATCTTGTTAGATTGAAAGAACATATTCGATACAAATAAGGATAAGTAATATAATAGAATTGTCATGTTTTTATTTTGAAATCAAAGCTGTCAAAATGTGTGGTTTCTGAAACGACGTCTTTGTTTGTTCGGATACTGGACACCAAAGGAATCACCGTCATCGGAGCTGGATGCCATAATATGGCGATTTACAATAATTTTTCTTTGCTTCTTCCCTCGAAAGCTCGAGTTGTTTTTATCTAAAGTAAAAATATTCTCAAGAGTTGACGATTGCGAAAAACAATAGAAGCGGTCATCTTCGTCGTCGTAAAAGTGGTACGTTTTTTCAACATTACTTTTGCCACGGCCTAGTGTCTATAGTAACATCAATAACATGGCACGCTTTCGGCGATAAAATAACCTCTCGTTTAAAAAAAAAAAAAAATAATAACAAAATTTTAACAAATCATTCGCAAAATTTGTTATCTCAGAAAACATTCAAATATACGAATTATAAATTAATAGCAATGGGTGTTTGTGCAAGGAAATCCGATTTTCATTCAAGTATTCCTTTTTATGGATGGCAAGGATGGAGTTTTCTAACTTTTATCGCTATCATTGTTTTAATCGCCATTATTTACAACAATTATTTGCGCGTAAGTTATGACATTTTGATTTATTGAAAAATTTCATCCATATACCTCCTTTTGTCTCTATCCTTTTCATTATGTACAATATTATAACAAGCTTGCCATTAAAAGAAATTTTTATAAATATTACATAATCCAACTTTGTTTACGACTAATGGATAAACCGCGTGTATTTCTAATACCACGTCGCTTACTTAAAAGGACTTATTCATTAATAAGAGAAATATCAGAATCATTTATTTCCTTCCAATGATGGATAATACTCGCGCGAGAAATCTCATATGATGTATAATCTGCCTCCATTTATCTCCTGTTACCGTTCCGAAGTCTGACAAGTTAGACCCAATGTCGGAACTTGTTACGAACGTCTAGCTAACTTTTTATATCACTATTACTTTAGCAATTTCTCAAAAATTCCTTCTCCTATGCGGTCTCTGTAATAAAACCTACTCAAATCTTTAAGTTACAAAATTCGAATGAAAAACCTTTTCTTAAGGAAATCTTTCGAACGATTCTTCCTTATATCGAACATTTCCATCTCCTCTTTAATGACTAATTAGATATTTTATCAATGCTAGACTAATGATCAGAAATATGTTCAAAGATATTACCTTTTATTAATTATAATTCCATTAAATATCATGAATGTTACATTTTATAACTTAAACGTTGCAGAAATCATCCTAGATTTAATGGAATCCGCCTAAAAAGAGATGGAGACTTGCATATTTCAAAGAATAATAAGGGGGCTAATTACTTGAATGCAAACTATCTTCGTCAGGAAATGATAAATGTACTCATCAGTAACAAATTTTATAACAGAATGTATGCCATCATTTATAGACCAACTTGATTAAGTACACTGCTTCAAAAATCAAAGTACTATTAAATAAATCTATGTGAATTCGATTATAATGGGAATAATGTAATTAAACTAACCAAACGTGGAGATCTCGGAAATGGACGTCGGTAAAGCTACTTGGACGTTTCCACACAAATACGAGCTCATAATATATTTTTCTTTCCCTTCGATAATCCTAATGGCAGATAATCTGATCTTTCGTATGGAAAATAATTCAGAAAAAAACCATGAATATTTAATGAATCCTTTAATATAGGAATTACAGGGATATGTTTAAATAGTAAAAATGATAGACGCTATCATTGTAGAAATAAGATTAAACATATGTAATAAATGCTATTAACATTTACAAACGCTGTTATTATATTGGAGAAATTATTCTCTCTTGAATCTGTATAATGTACACTTTTCGAATAAATTAATTACCTACCCATTTATTTTATTTTAACGTATGAATCCTATATACTTACGTACATACATATACAATGCATCACAGAAATATACAAATATTTTTCGGGATTAGATCACTTTTTTTTTAGGATAAATAAAATATTGTAGAATTTATAATAGATACAAAATTAATTATTAAGTTATATGTGATATATATAGAATTGTATCAATAAAAGCAAACAAATTATTATTTTCTTTTTCATGTACTTTTTACAGAATATTAATTTTTTTTATTATCTATATCAAAATTCAGATCATTTTATGCAATCTGTAAAAAGTTATTCAATTTCAATACGTATTCGAATATTTTTATGATCCATTTTTCTTTTATTACATATATATATTTACGTGCATAATAGTTTATGCATACGAATTGTTGTGTTACTTTTTCTTGAGTTTTATATCACACAGCGTAGCTTGTGGTGATCGCTGCGTATCGTTATTGGACGACGAAGCTTGAAACTGGAGAATGAAAGAGAGAGAGAGAGAGAGAGAGAGAGAGAGAGAGAGAGAGAGAGAGAGAGAGAGAGAGAGAGAGAGAGAGAGAGAAAGAGAGAAAGAGAGAGAGAGAGAAAGAGAGAGAGAGAGAGAGAGAGAACGATATACGATACATCAGAGACTTGATTAGCAGGAACACATATATATCCGAGCTTCTGCGATTTACGGTTCGCGCGTTGTCCGGTGCAGCCGGAAGTGGATGGCCACGGCCACTGGAGGCAATCGTGCGAAGCGTGCAAGCGGAGACTCGGAGTTTCCGCCGAAAATGAATTATTCCATCGGGTTATCAACGCAACGGTGAAGGTCGACCGTGGTGAAGGGATGAAAAAGAGAACGAGACGATTAAAGAGGTACTAGATTAAAACCCGGAAGATACTTCTTTTTCTCTCGCTTCACAGAACTTTTATGATGTTGAAATTTATTTTAGTATCTACGAATAGTAGAAAAAAATAAGAACGAAGATACGACTGAGAACTTGTGCAGATGTTTTCCATTTATTGCGAATTTTTGATCTTTTTTTATCAGAACAAATTGCAAGATAAATAAGTTTAATGAATAAATAATGTATAATGCAATATTAATGTACATACGTTTTAAACGTATAATTAATGCACATATATTTTAATCATTTCATTGGTTTTGTTGGTATATTCCCAATTATAAATGTTAAATAATATTAAATATTTTAATAATTAAATAAAGTGTACATAATTGAAAAAAAAAAATGCGATACAAATTAAAATAATATCGTATTTTCTTATGCTTCTTATGCTTACTAACGCGGCCGCTAGAATGCGCTACCTTAATTTTCCAAGAAGCAATTCTTTTCCTCTGTTGATAATATTCAGAATAAAATTTTTTTATCTCTTTTTAAAAATGAAATATTGATATTTACTGATAAATACAAAGATGTAATATACAAAATTATTTTGAATATATAACACATAACATTATATCATTTTCTACATTACCTACTGATAATGCCTGATGTAATCATAGGTCAAATATAATGTGCATTCTGTTCAAGTAGGAATCACGCACTTCGATCGCCCTGCTAAAAGTACCAAAAATATTAAAAGCATTATTGTATATCGTTCATCTTCAAATACATCGCGATAACATCATAAGAAAAGAAAATATTTAAAAAGAAAAAAAATGAAAAATGAACTTAAGAAAATATTATTTCTACTAAAACTTTCACATATCTAGAGAATGAAAATATTCGTCCCTGCATGAGTGCTCAAAATCGATCTATCGCGTAGTTCGAGTGGACCAATCACATGCTCGCTCGTAGTCGCGCCGCCGTGTGACGCGTTCAGTGCCACGTTGGCAGCGCGGCCGACGCCTTCGTTTTCTGTTACTTTTGTTTCATCGATTCACCTATACAATTTGTAAAAAAATAAAAAGGAAAAAAGTGTGTGCACGAAAATAAATATATTGATATAGAAAAGAAAAAGTATAGATTTAAAATCATTAAAATCGTATCGTGAGAATATCGGAAGAGCCTCTAAAAAAATAGACAAGGACGAAGTGTTTCAATCGTGTGAAAAAGCAAGAGAAAACCAAAAAAGAGAAAGAGAGAGAGAGATAGATAGATAGATAGACAGACAGACAGACAGAGAGAGAGAAAAAGAGGGAGCGAGCCATTCTAAAAGTCCCTCTCTCCTTTTCTCTTTCTTTTTCTCTCTCTTTTTCTCAACACAGCGAGTAGTGGGGGAGTAAAAATATCTCTTTCTCTCTTCCTCCCTCCATCTCTTACTCGACACTGTGAAATCCGATTCCGAACGAGTAAGGAGACTGTCCCTTCCACTACTCTTCCACCCAAGCTCATTAGTCCACTTTCGTACGTTATCGTGTTCATTTTCGTGATACGAAGCGCTTCGTCACATTGCGTGAAAACACGCGGTTCTTCCCATAGAGAAAAAACCCTTCAATACATTATTTCTTTCATGGAGGAAGTTTAATACAAGAAAATAACTTCTTCTTCCTTTGCTTTAACAAGTATTGTGTGTGTGTGTGCGTGTGCGTGCGTGCGTGAGTGCGTGTAATTGTGCGTGTGCGCGTGCGCGCGCGCGCGTCTCGTGTGTTAATCAGCTTTTGGAAAGGAGAACAAAAAAGATACTTTTTTTCTTGACGAAAAAGAGTGCAATTATGTCGTCGTCATCCTCTTCGGATATGAATTTCATGGATTTATTATTTTCTCGCGAAGACGCCTTCCTTAAGGATGTCGTTAAGGATGAGCCTTTCGTCGATCACAATTACACTGACGACGCCATCACGGTAAGTTTCAGACGCACAGTCATAGCCGGCTTTATCGATGACACGAATAACTTTGTCATGAATAAATGTTGAACTTAGCTACAATAGTTTACGATATTTCCATCTTAAACTTCTATAGGTTGTTGTTCCCTTCGATTCTGTTAGAAAGAAAAAACAGTTTTCGTGATTCTTTCGTGGAATTCGACGAAATACAGATTTTTTGTTGTCTTCTTATCACATAGAACGAATCTTCTTATCTCATCGAACGGATAATTTTAATCTTATAACGAAGAATTTATTAGATCTCAATAAAATCATTTTACGTATTTTTAATGTATGAATTTGTTTTAATAATTTTATGACACTCCATTATATTCTTAATATTGATCCTATCATAGTATATGATAAAAACGTTAGGTTTAAGTATCGATTATGCATAATTAATTATAACGTTAACTATTAAAAATATAATTGATTCGATTAAAAATTTATACAGAAAGTATGAAAGTTTGAAAAAGTTTTTAACTTAGACTTATTGTACTTGTTATCTCTTGTGAGAAAAATAAAATAAGATACTATGATCGGATTTCTAGTGATCTCATGGGAGGATCATTGACCGTTTATATTTCACCGCATCTTGTGCTACTTTTCGCTTACATATTTTATTGTTCTTATTAATCTGTAAAAGTAGGAATATCGTTAATCGAAACCTTTCACGAAACGTGTTTTCAAATTTTTACGCGTAAACATATGTTATCACGGAACTTCCTTCTACTATCGAAGTAAACAAATAAAAAACGAAAAGCATCAATCGAAAAAAACTGACGAGAAACTCAATCGTAAGACCAAACCTCGCGGGAAATTCCCGTTATTCATCTTTCTCCCGTCGTAAGACGTTAACATATGGTGCACATGTACCCACGTGCATGCTAACGTTCTTCTTGAATCGTTCATTTGCTTACGAGATTGAACGGAACAGAGTAATCCAAATAATTATAGTTTAATACAGATACCGACAAATTCTAATACAGGATGAACATAAACTTCGTTATAAAATTTACTTTAAAATATATTTTTCTACATTTTAATTTCATTATTTTTCTTTTTAATTATTATATAAAGATATATTTAATCAAAAAATTCGATTTTTTCGAAATATTTTCTAAACGCATAATTCGATCGATTCATATTTATTATATTATGCGTAGGAACAAGCACAAAAATAAAAATGAATTTCTTTATATACTATCAAAATAAGAAATGAGAATTAAGTAAATATCAAACATTCTAGTGATATTTTCTTGAATGAATATTATATGAATTATGTAATCATTATGAACTTTTAGCATCCATATGGAATGGTCTCGTACACGTGCCGATATTATATATGTATATACGTCGTCATATTGAATTCTTCTTCAAATCTCTTTAGCGAGAAACTTTATTTATCCTTACATTAAAAATATGCATTTTTGTCGTAAGAACAATGCTTTTAATTATTAAGTAAATTAACACTTTCTCCTATTATCTTTCTACAAGAATATATAGTTTAATCTAATTCAATACTCAGAAGGATGAATGAACTTTCGATGCTCCGTTTCATCGTTTAATATCGCTTTCTAATTTTTTTCATTATTTTATACTATACTTATAATAAAACGTTAAAATTTCTTCTCAGTTTAAAATGATTCAAATTCTACTCGTTACGGCAAATGACCTTCGAACGTAGAATACCGTTAAGTTACGGGACTTCTTACGCTAGTATAAATATTCTCTTTATGGACTCACCTAAAGAATCCAATTAAGGATTAACGCACGTTAATCAATGCAATTGAAGTTTATTCGATACATTGCTCTGATTTAGGAATTAGAGTCTAATCTACTTCTTTCTAAATCGCTTGTCAGTTTGTAAATTATTGTTTACATTATTATGCTCATTCTACAGATATTGCGATTCTGATTTTAATAAATTTGCATGAAACTAACTTTCAAAATACGAAAAGATTCGCAAGATTGGTTTTTTTTTCCATAAGAAAAATTGTATTCTCGTAAGAATAAAAATCCGAGAAACGAAATGTATTTTCCCCGTAGAAAATTCGCATTACAATCTCAATTAAGATGAATTGATAATGACGTAAATGAAAAACAGACAAAGAGAGAGAGAGAGAGAGAGAGAGAGAGAGAGAGAAAGAGAGAGAGAGAGAGAGAGAGAGAGAGAGGAGGAGGGGTGAGATATACAATTTACTCCAATCTGGGACGAGTTTCTTGCCAATGGCGAGAAACGTGCTTTCCCAAGTTGAAGTTATGCCAACCGTTGATAAAAATAAAACGACGCATTATGTGAAAACAAAGATCTCTAATTTAATAACACATATTATCATAAATAAATAAGTAGTCTTAAGAGATTCGAATTTTTTTTTTCTTTTTTCGACAAAGATAAGCTTTATCGAAAGCTTGTGACATCATCGTCAAATCGAACATCCTACAAAAAAGAAAATAATTATCCGAGAAAAAAAGAGACAAAAAACGTGCGATTTATTTATTTTGTTTTCTTTGACTTCTCAGCGAAACATTTTCTGAAGTGTAAAAAAAGAATCATGACATTGCAAAATGATGAATTTTGCAAAGATTTGAAGAATGATTGGGAAGACTAAAATTTCGAGATAGTTTATATATATATATATATATATATATTTTTTTTTTTTTTTTTTTTTTTTTTTTTTTCGTTATTGACGCGTAGAAAGTTGTATTTTTTCTTGATTCATGACCGCAATATCAATATAAAAGTATACGTTAGTTTCAAAGTCAAGAACATTTTAGCTTAGATTTATTTTTAGATATCTTCTTAATTTACGGAGAAAGTCAACTTTATCTAAAATCATTAATGGAAACTATGAGTTCAATGTTTTACAATCTGATAAAAATTTTCTAAAAACAAAGGGAAATTATTTAAACGCATAAAATCTTATTAGAATAAGACTTACTAATCGAATAAAGCTATTAAAACTTGACATTAAACATCGATTATACATACGCGCGTTAAATGCCATGAGTAATATTTAAAAGATAATTCTACCGATGCTCGATGTTGCTTTAATCATGAGCGGCCAGCCATATATGTATGCACACACAAAAGCGCTTGGCTTCGAAGAAGTAGGTCGTACAATTTTTCGCGAATAAATTCGTTCGTTCTTTCACCGTCAAGATTATAAGTCGATAAAGACGATTGTAAATTTAGAATTGAATCTTTAATATATGTAATCTTTGTTGCAGCACGTATATAACATGCAATCTATATCACATCACAAATATATTTCATCGAACTATTCATCATTGCTATCGTTCAATATATAAATCTTTTTTAGACGGAAGAATGGCCAACAAATCCGGACGATTTCTTGGATTCGATTTTCAAATTAGAAGATAATCAATTCAATCTGATCGAGAATGATTTAGAAGCTATTCCATCCTCCTCATCGGACAGTGGACTTTCCAGTGCTTTGAGTCTTTCCTGCGAGCAACAATTGAGTCCTCTTTTACCGATCGAAGAAGACCAAGCTGAAGTCTCGAATTCGGATTTAAGCAGTCCTCAAAATTTTATGGATTTTGATTCATTAGGAAGTCCAAATCAATCGATGGGTAGTATCGACAGTCCTATAAGATCGGTTGTCTCCTCGAATATAGGATCACCAGTCACGGATGTTAACGAAGAAATGGAGTTCGAGCCAACTCTCGTAGCTGTGGTAAATCCTAACAATACCGTTCCTGATTCTACTCCTGTCATAACAACAGATCAACAACCGACAGTTAATATAGGTAAGAATATTCATTATTTATTCGATCATCCAATTCAATTCTATCTTAAAATTGCTATCATACATATAATCGAACAAAAAATTATATAAAATAATTGTTCAGGATATTCTAGAATCTATTGATTTAATTTAAGATTAGTGTTATATCTTATCACCCCAAAAATACTAAATCGGATACACCAAAATGGGAACAATCTTGTATTGATTTTTCCTACTTCTACATAAAGTTATCTTACTTTCAGAAAAAAATAATTCTGCTGCTAAAAAATATTACGTCTCATCAATCATTCGTCTTTAGCGTGACATAACGTAAATATCGATAACATTTCTATGATTTTAATATCACATTTGATACGTCAATGTTCTGTACTGATTTAAACAATTGCGTATTTTTAAAAATTGTTTATTAGAAATTAATATTAGTTCTTAGATATTGATCATAGAAAATTATATATTGAATGAATTGTTTGTTTTACAATTTTTTTTATAAAGAATCATGGAGTTTGAAGGCGAATCCTTTTATTAAGAACAATTTATTTGCTTCAATCGTTTCATTAATATGTCAACATAATTATCGTGACGCAAATCGTGGAAGTTTTTTCTCGTTTATTGCATTTTTTTAACTCCTCTTGGATTCTTATTTGTTTATAGACATATATAGTATGAGGAAAAAAAATCTGATACATCGACGAATTAAAATAAATAATTCAGCTGCATATTGTATTTCTTTTTTTCTTTTTTTTTTTTGTTTTGTCGACGAAACATATTTTCAAAGATGTTAAAGGAATAAAAAGTTTGATAAAGAGATAAGGAAATGGATTGTTAAGAGATAAAAGTGTATATTTTACAGAAGCACTAATTAAGCAACAGGCACATGTGACGCCTCAGGAAAATACAGTAAATGTTCGCAATCTGACGTGCAGTGGAAAGAGAAACATAAGACAATTAATTCGTGTTACACCAATGGGATCTGGTAACCCTAGGTCGATTTTATTACCCGTTAGCTTAAAGGACATGAAGGAAGTACGAACAATAAAGATAATAAACGCATCGCAAGCCAGAAATCTCAAAGGCTTCAAGATTAATCAAGCAAATATCATTAACAAACCTGTTCAGGTAGAAAAAAAGCATTATTTGCCATTCCTATTGAATATCGTTATAAAAATACATTTTTTTAAATATTTGAAAATGATTTATTTTTCTTCAGATGACTATAAAGCAAGAAGATTCCAGCAGCGAAAAGGGTTGTAATTCGAGTGACGAAATTTCGGAAACAGATTCACCTTATCCAAGATTAAAATTAAATGCTGAAGAAAAACGTCTTTTACAAAAGGAAGGAATAACGTTACCAACTCATTATCCGCTCACGAAACACGAAGAACGTGAGCTGAAGAGGATCAGACGTAAGATTCGCAACAAAATATCTGCTCAGGATTCACGTAAAAGAAAAAAGGAATACGTGGATGGATTGGAGGATCGTGTAAAACAGTGCACAGAAGAAAACATGACGTTGCTCAAACGTATAAAAGCACTCCAATCCCAAAATCAGAGTCTAGCCGGTCAACTTAAGAGACTCCAAGCATTAATACAAAAAAGCAACAAAAGCGCTCAACCAGCAACTTGTCTGATGGTCCTGTTACTTTCGCTAGCACTCGTAGCTGTGCCGAATCTTCGACCACACTCAAATTCCAACAATGAACTCACAAAGGAGCAAGAACAACCTGAAAAGATGCCGCCTCTTGCAGGTGAGTCATTGTATTACTACAAATTCTAATATAATTACACATGTTATATATTACATTTTACTATCTCCACTTTTCTTCTTGCATTTCGTTCTTTAATGTGACTTAGACCTTTTTATTTTGCCGTGTGAATCGCCAAATTTTAAAACGAATAAATCTTCCATATACTTTGCATGATATTACTTAAAAATTTTATCTTAAAAATATTACATATGATAAATAGGATAGATCTCTTTGAAATTTATCAAATGAAGAAAAATCAGATATCATTACAACAAACATTAGCTACTTTTTACATTGATATCATTTCCATATAAGAAAGTTAGTTTATTCAAATTATACTAAATCATCTATTATACTTTTACCGTATTAAAGTGTTTTTTTTTTTGCGAATGATATATATTACAAAAAAAATAAACGTACAACTTCACTTTAAATTCTTGGTAAATTTATGGCAATATATAAAATTCTCATCCTATTGTCGGTGGGTAGTTATTTTCGTTCTTAAACGAGGTCATGCTTCAGAAGTTCGAGCACATTCTACACTGATTCTTTCGTCCAATCCTTGAACGACGATCGTAAGATATAACAAATCTTTAAGAACCGTTACAACTGCCGTAGACACATGTACACAAACGCGCGCATGCGCATCTGTGCGCAAGTTAAATCTGTTTGACAATGCCCTAGCGGTTACTGCTTGGTACGTTGAACTCACATAAAATTGTGAAAGGTACTACTCTCCTAACTTTTTCTTTTCCGTTCACATTCCGCCTGTCGGCAAACTCAATTTCTCGTTTTCCCTATTCTTTTATCTATTCTTAGAAAGGATTATGATCGTCTCTTTGTACTTTAGTATCGGATCAATCTAGTCACTTGATTAATTATATATACATATGTATATTTAATTACATTACATGTACATATATATATTTATACGCCTTTATATATTAGGGGAACCAGAAAGTAATGTCGCTTTCTTAAATTAAATTCAAACGAATAAATTTTTAACAATTTTTAACAATCAAATATCGACATTACTTTCCGGTCCACCTAATATAATTTCGTCGAGACAATATTTACAAGTAGCAATTATATAAATTTTCATTTACAATTGGATTAAAATTGATCTGATCATATTGCTGATCAATAACATATTTTCTTACAATTTACGATTGATATTGAATGTAAATATATATATTTATGATAGAATTCATATATTAATATATTTGATAGAATTTATTATTATACTTTTTATGTATATATTTTCCATGAATTTATTTTAACGATTAATTAAGGAAAATTTGTTAAATACAATACACAAAAATGAATATAATTCTATATATTGTGTAGAAAAAATAAGATCATAAAATGCTCGTAAATATTGTTTAAACGACGTTATAACGATTGGATATATTTTCCGTATCTTGAAAAACGATTAGGTAACCTTAGATAATCCAACGGTACGTTAAAGTGTACTTTGATACTACACACACACACACACACACACACATATATATATATATATGTATATATGCATCATACTTCTATTTCCCCGATGACTGTTCAAATGTTCAAATAGTAAAAAGTTCTATTTATTTCTGAAAACAAATATAATTGAAATATATGATCCGTGTTTTTTAGCTAATAAAAAAATTTATAAAATCACTTGAATTCTTGGTGATTAAAAAGAATTCAAATTTCTTGTTATCATCAATTTTTTATCAACATTTGTATATTAACGTGACTAAAATATATTTTTTATTGATACTATTATGAAATGTTTTGCTATTTATAATTGTAAATTTTAAACCTTTTCTTGCTTCATCTTTAAACTATTTTGTCATTATAAAATAATTTATTCGTCATCCTCATAATGATCGATTATAATAATTTCTTTTTCGACTTCAAATATAAATAGCAAAGACTTGATAAATGGATATTTCGCTTGCATCATGTTTTTGTTTGCTAAGTTATACGATTAAATAAAACTTGCTTACTCAGAAATTTAAATACATATAATTTCATGGGACAGTCGTGTCAACATTTTTTGTAGTATCTTTTTTTTTATGCATTTTTCTTAACAACTAGAAACTTCTTAAATATATTCTTCTATCTAAAATATATCTTTTAAATTAAATAATATACTATGATAAACATCGCTATATATGAGATTAGATAAAGTTAATTAGACCATGTTCTCATTACTATTTACGATTAAGACGTTGTCATAAATAAATCGAGTGAAACAATATCGTTTCACGTATATCTTCACTTATTAATATTAGATATCGTAAGATATCATTTAGAGAAAATGCGCAATAAATTGTATTATTGAATTATCTCGAGTTCATGACAATTTTCGATAATAATATAACTTCAATATTTCAAAACTTTATATATAACGAAGTGAGTGGAGAGAAAGAGAGAGGCAAATGAGTGAAATAGCTCTTTAAAGCGTAAAATCTCTTTAGGTTAAAGAAAGGAGCGAATGATGAAACAGAGAAAGATATATGAAGTAAAGGGATGGAGAAAGAAAGATCAAAGTTAAGAAGAGAACGGTGAAACCGGAGCATGGTGTGAGATTGCCGACGAGTTGATCTACAACTTTCTAAATGAAGACAAGAAAGCACCGTTCGATTGTTGTATCGAAGCTCTTTTCGACGAAAAATCTAGACTATCGACAATTTAGAAATGAAACGATTTAGGTCATGATCATTTTACTAATCCAAATGACGTTCTAAGATCAGTTGGAAACATTTAAAAGTTTTATAAATTGAAAGTAATAAAACGTTAAAAAAAGAATAAATTCTAAATAATTCTTAATTAAACGGTCAATTGAATTTATCTAATACTCGGATTTTTCCGATCACGAATTATCATCACTGTTATGTCGATGACCTCTTCTTGGAATTTCAAAGCGAGAACTTTAGGGACTACATACGTGCACTGTTTCGCAATCATTCTTCAACCGGAGGTTACGAAATTCATTGTATACTGCTTACTACTTAAAAAGAATTACTAATGATATCAATTAGAGAAATATTTCTTTGCGATAACGATTAAAAAAAAAAAAAATCGGTGGATGATAACGAAAAAATAGAACAAAAAAAAACAAAAAAAAAAATTCATTTGTACCGAATATTTTTTCGATCGTACTTGAAAGTTTCATTATATCTCTCTTATTCCCCAGTTTCCTTGGCCTACTCCAATAATATAGGGCTTCGCTGTTACGTTCACATCCGTATCAACCTTCATCTACTTTTACATTTAATAGAAATTATATAGAAAAGTTGTTGACTTTTAGAATACAGGTCGATTAAAAAAAAAAAAGAAGAAGAGGGAGAAAGAAAAAACAAATTTGAAAAATGTTCAATCGCTAATGAGAGTTTATTTTTAGGTCGCTCGAGGACACTCCTTTATACGAAACAATTAAAAGATGAAGAACTGCAACAATATGGCGAGGAATTGTTGCAGGAAGTCGAGGGTCTTTTGGATCACGATTACAGTCCCGTGGTTCAGATGCCTCCCTACAAACGTCCTCGCATTGAGAACGAAGTGAACAATCAAAAGTTCATTGCTTCCTCGGAACAAATTGGTGGTACGTTAAGTGGTATACTTGGTGGCCAAGAAATGCCGTTTATGAAACCGAGCAATCGGAAATATATCGAGCCACCATTGGACGACGTTTGGCCACCACCTAATCCAGGCGGGAAAACGGAACCTAAAGTGGTCGATAAGCTTGAAGCTTTGACCAACGAACTAAAGATCAATATATCTGACTCGGAAGGCACCAGAACCGTCCTTGTAAAAGTACCTCATGAACAGTGAAGTACCACCTTTCTTTCTTTTCTTCTTTATTTCCCTTTTTTCTGGAGATAACAACAAAATGAAAGAATAAATACCGTTTAAATGAAATCGAACGACCGTGAAAGAACGCACGTATCTCAAAGGTTTTCGTCGTGAATTTCGAATTTTTCAATAATAAACACACATCGATATAACTAGCGACAAAGTTAAACGTTAATAGTAAATCGAATTGAAAAGAAACATTAAGAATTTAATATATTCCTCTAATAACATACATTCTTTGTTTTACTTTAAATAAATGTTTATCATGTAAGAGGATCGATCATGGAATATTATTATAGAATCGTCCGATCAACGTTAGTTTTAATATTCATATATAGAAAATAAAAAGTATGTTAACTATCGATGGGAATGTTGATAATGAAATAATATCGTCATTATATGGAAAGAGAGAAAAGATATCATATATTATTGATTCTTTCCACGTTAATGATATTCTCCATTTGCAGATAAGACACTTATCGAGCAAAGCTTGAATTTCATCGTTAGCGATAAAATATCTGTCTTGTAAGACAATAATATTTAGAACGGATATTATTAGGAATAGCAACAATCTTTTGTTCATACAGAATATAGATTCTTTCGTTATTTAAAAAAAAATCGACGATTCGAATACCGTAATTTTCTTTTACACATTAGTTATATCTCAAGAAAAATATCTATTTTTATATTCAGTTCGAGGAATTGAAAATGATAATTAATATTCAATAATAACTTTATCGGTTTTATTACATATATTAAATTCATAATCAGAAATTACACACAACACACATACGCACGCATGCAAATTAAAAATATTTAGAAGCATTGCAGTAACATGGATATCAATTCATGTGATTTGTGCTCTCGAACTGAATATCAAATAAATATCTTAACTTTTCACATATACATTCGAATGACCATATAAATCACGTTATTAATAGAGTACACTTTTTTATCTATGATACATTAAGAAATAATCATCCATTAAAGGCAAGGATCACGTTGCCTTTTCTGAAGCATCATCGAAGATTCGAAAATCGTCTTAAAACAAATTGTTTCCCTTAATCACAATCACTTCAGATAATTTATAGAAACCCTGTATTCATCGAACATTGTATGGATGGCTTCAAGCCAATCGGAATCTTGCAACGATTAATATTGTTATCATAGGCAGTACTACGATTTTTGTAAATATTTGCAATTGTAGAGTATATGAATGATAAAGAGATATATATATATACACATATATATATGAAAATATTATACAATTATATTATTATTATTATTATTATTATTATTATTATTATTATTATTATTATTATTATTATTATTATTATTATTATTATTATTATTATATTACAGCTTTAAAAATAACTTTTTACGAAAATGCAATGTGTAATTTTACGCACGTTATTATGCAAAAGAAAAATATTTACAACGGTGTACGGTAGAATACCCATGATCTGTCAAGAAAAAAAAAGGAAAAGTTATATCCACACGAAAATGACGTACCGACAGATAGTCTTAAAATGCATGTTTTGTCTTTGTTGTAAGAAGATAAAAATGAATGAAAGAATAGGAAGTAGAAAAGATAGAAAATTCTTTCTTTGAAGAGCTACTAAGAAATTCTAAAAGGAAAAACGGTATGCGTTTAGTTAGATAAGTTCTCAGTATAAAAAAAAAAGTTTTCAATATACAAGAGTTAAAAGTTAAGCGTGTATTTTGCACCAAGTGCTAAGACTGTATTGTGTAAATCACATGCCGACCTTTACTTCAAGATAAGAAAGAAAATGAATTCAAAGTATTCCTCGCCTGATTTTTATTTTGCGTTATTAGAATTTGATTATAATTTTTATTACTTTATATACGGCTCGCGACGCGCGTTCATATATGATATATCATCACTATATACATAGATATATGCACGAAATTGTAAATAAATATATCGAAAAAGTATATTTTACCATCGTGTAATAGTTCGTACTTACATTTCTTTTCTTTACAACGTGGGACGTGGGTTGTGGAAGACACAAGGAAAAGCAAGAAATATATATATATATATCGATGTCTCGTCCTTACGTAAAAAATTAATTAAATTCGTTTAATCGCTTTCGCAGCGCGCCGTTAAAGATAATTTTGATTTAATTTAGATAAGTTCACACATACATTCCTAATTAATAATGTTTGTCCGAAAATAGAGTAATCGTTCTATTTTTGCACGTAAGGTCAAAGGGATGAAGGTACTACACTATTAAAAAAAAAATTGAATAAATATGCGTGTAGCAATATTATAAAAGAAAAAAGCAAAAGAAAAAGAAAACAAAAAAAAAGAATAAAAATTTGAACGTAATTATCTTGCAAATGTTTTTTCCATTTCTCGAATATCCTGTTACTGGTGGAACTTATCGAGAAAGAATATTCAATATATAGTGTTGAAAGAATATTTCATATATGGTGTTCTTGGACATTCGCTTTCTATATTATTTATCTAACAGCGTGATATATTTTTTATATTTCGAGCCATTATGACTTAATATAAGAAAAAATCTGGCATTATAACAAATACGGACTAAAATTCGATCGTAATCATACCTGCAATTCCTCGTACATCTTTGTTAAAACATAACTAAGGTCAATACTTTTGACTCTGCGTAAATAAATAAAATATGGGTATTTCCGATATGCTCGTCAGCAATGTCACACTATTTCAAATACATTGTAAAACATTTTTAGATAAATTATTCCATATGGACATTTTAAAATTCATTGATTATATTATTTTACATATTTGCTTGAATAGTGAAAATTGAAAATAAAAATAAAAATTATAAATTAATCACGGAAAGAAAGAACGATATTAACACGTCGAAGAATCGCAATAAACTGACAATGAGAATTCCTTTTACTGTTGTTGTTGATCTGCTAGGTCATAAGATGTTATCGTTGAACATTGTAAGTAAGAAATTTGCGTTTATAACAGCTAAATGTATGATTAAATCAAATTTAATGTTATTTAACCTTTCTAACCGGAGATGATGAATAAACTCGTTATTGGGCGCGCAAAACAAATTAAATTGTTACAAAACTATAAAAATGACACTAAGATATATTAAACATAAAAACGTCATTTTCTTTCTTTTTTATTGTCATTGTGTTATCAATCAGTATAATTCGAAAGTGTAAACTATGTTTGGCTAAACAAATTTACAACAAATCAAACAGGTGAATATTAGAAATCCATCTGTGAAGTACCATTACATGTTATACCTTACTTTAAATGACATCATACTGTTAAATGAAATAAATTATCGTTTAAATTGTTCGTTTAATTATCACAGAATGTTTTTGAATATTTTAATTATTTGTTTAATTATCACTGTCTTTAAATTTTTTACTTTTATAATCGTACAAGTTGCAATTTATATTTCGCATTTACTATGAATATGACGAGAATCTTTGTTAGTTTATCATGGCACGTCCAGAGTGCGCTTTCAAGAAATGACCAATAAGGAGAAGTTGATTACTAGAGAACACAAATTGTTGCTATACTAGACATCCAACAATCAATACGTGGTTATATTTGGTACTTTACAGTTAATTTGTGTCTTAATTCCCGCCAAATTTTTGTTAATGTGAATTTTACTAGGGACATGTAAATTAAATAAAACACTAAAGGCAAAGAGCCCTTAAATGATATTTTATCCAAAGTTTTACTATATTCATTCCAAATGGGAGATGTAGCAAATCTTAATGATTTATTACCAATTTATTATGCTAGATTATTTCCTTTCAATGATTATTATGACTGGCTCAGTTATGGAAGTAGTAAGTTTGTTGTTCAACATGTTTTCTAAAATTAGAATGTAACAAAGAAAATTTCACATTTGTGTACTTTATTTGTATTAATTTTAGCAAATAACTTCAGCAGAAGAGAATTCTCTTTCACTCTTCAAGATGATATTTATCTTCGATTCCAATCATTTAAAACTCTTAAAGACTTAGAAGCAGACATCAAGAGACTTCTTCCATTTAAAATTGACATTGGTGCTGTGTATAATGTTCCGTAAGAATGATCTTATAATTTTTCTATTATTAAGTTATTTAATGTTTTATTAAATAATATATTTTATTTATTGGATCAATTATATAATTGATAGGCCGAAAGAACAAAGAAAAAGAGCACGATTTTTTCCCGTTGAAAGAGAACTTGTTTTTGATATTGATATGACAGATTATGATGAAGTAAGAACATGTTGCGAAGGTACAGATATTTGTAATAAATGTTGGAAGTTTATGATACTTGCATGTAAAATATTAGACAACGCGTTAAGAGGTAATTATACATATAGTTATACAAATGATAGAAAATATTTTTCCTTTTTTTTGTTAAAAATAATCTGTTAATATTAAGAAAAATAATTATATGTTTAGCTGATTTTGGATTCAAGCATATTCTCTGGGTATTTTCTGGTAGAAGAGGTATACATTGTTGGGTTTGTGATCCAGAAGCACGCTTTTTAGAAGATGTTCAACGTGCTGGAGTTGCAGAGTATCTACAAATTATCGGAGGAGGAGAATACATGAAAAAGAAAGTCAATTTATCCACTGATACTTTACATAAATCTATTAGGTGAAATATTATCTAACTTTATTATGATGTTAAATAAATACTGTTATGTTTATTTAATATATTCTCTTATACAGACGTGCATTGGATATAATTGAAGCAGAATTTATACCTATGTGCATTGAAGAGCAAGATATATTAGGAACAAATGAAAGAATGGAAAAGTTTCTAGCGATATTACCTGATGAAGAAGACCAACTAGAACTGAAGAATTTATTTGGCCAATGTTCTTCCAGTACAACTCGATGGAAGGCATTCTGTGAATTTGTCAAAGACAAAAGAACAAAGGTATAAAAGAAATGTGAATTTGAGTAAAATTCACATTAAGAACTAATCATCTCATCTAATTTAGAGGGGATCAAAATGGTATTTATACCGTCATCTTAGGGAAGAAGTGATGTTGCAATATGCCTATCCAAGGTTAGATATAAATGTTACAAAAGGAATGAATCATCTTTTAAAATCTCCTTTCTGTATACATCCAAAAACGGGCAAAGTTTGCGTACCATTTACGGTAAAGACCGTAGAAAAGTTTCAGCCAGATAAGGTTCCAACAATAATGACATTAATTGACGAAATTAATGAGTTCGACGCAAAGGAGAAAACAGAAGAAATTAATAATTTAGATACAACAAAAATAAAAGATTATAAAAAGACGAGTTTAAAGAAATCACTTCACATATTTCACGAATTTTTATGGGGACTTAAAGAAGCGCGAAAGGGTTTAAAGGCTAAGGAAAATGGTATGTTGTTTATTAACGCTTAGCTAATTATGATTACAGATTTTTCAATTTAAAACAATTAAATATTATTTTATAATTATTTCAGATGAAAAAATGGAATTTTAAAAACTGCAGAGTTATCTCAGAATGTAATAATAAATATTTTACAAATAAAATAGATTATATTACTTATATATTGTATTAATTGAAAACTCTTATTTTAACATCTGATCTATGTATTAGATTTAGGAACATTTTTACATGTAAAAACATTAAGAATCCAGACTAATGAGATCAATATCGTAGTTGCAAAATCTATTAAACGCATTTGTATAATAAGTTCCGCGTAAGAGTCTTTGTTAGAGAAGAATTTTTATTTGACAAGCAAATATATTTGTCGTATCGGAGTCACTTGAAGACGGTGGCGCATTGACGAAGAATAAAAAGAATTTGCTAGTAAAGGAAACCGCTCGATGGATTTATTGCTCAAGGTGCTTACCTTCAGATAGAATAGTCAATAGCGTAGTCTACTTTGCTAACTATTATTGTTGATTAAAATAAACTTTTCTATTGAAAATAATCGAAAAATTTTATTTTAAACATTGGCCTTACTTAAATCATTTCTTAAATTTATTATCATCAATAATAAAAACTATTCGAATAATGTAATTATAAGCAATCTCTAACTTTGATTTTGAATTCTGAATCGAGTACGCCAATGTAAAATCGTGAAGCCGGCGAGCTTAAAGACCCTTTAAGGAGATAGATCGGCCAAGATTAAATAGAGGTAATGAAGTACATCACTATCGTCTTTTAAACCTTTCTGACCATATTTGACTGACTTTATTTATCCCAATTGCCACCAAATTCCTTCTCTTTCTATTTTATTCAACGGGATAATTGTTTTTCGTTCGATGCACTATTTATTTCTTAAGATTGTTCATCATCCCTTGTCTTATAATGGTTTACACCAGCAATGAATCCAAACGTAATTTTCAATTGATTTTAATAAACAAGGTCTCATTTTGAAGATGAAGATATAAACAGGGAGATGTCTTTTCCGAATTTTTAAAAAAGTTTTGCATTAATAAATTTTTAAAAAAGCTTTGCATAATGTCAACAAAACGAACTCTTCATCGACTTTGATAGTTAACCAGATAGTTTGGTTTCTGTGACTTTATTATGTATTATGATTCAAAGATATTTGCGATTATATGACATTTATTAGATTCTATTTTTAACGAAATAGAGTTGAATTCAATCGCCAAAACCTTTGATGAATTTGATATTTATTGTTAACTATGTAAAATTAGCACTTAACATACTTACGATTTTGTTGTTTATATATTTGATATGATATAATATAACGATTTTTATATAAAATGATTTATATACTAAAGTATAAACGAACGAAAAAGTAAAATAAAATTATACCAAGAAAATATATTACAGATCAAAATATTATATTGCATTCTTTTTTAATGTGAAAAATGCTTAATATTAATATTAATTAAATAAAGGATTAATATTAATTTATAATATTAATTATTATCTTTTAAAACATTAAAGTTCAATACTCGTGTATATGTCCATGGTCGGTGGATTCTAATATATTAAGTTCGTTGATGATTTACGAACTTAGATAACTAACGAGAAATGAAATGAATTTTTTAATTATGAAGAAAGAGAATAATGTAACGAAAAACGAAAATGTTTCAAAGAGAAAACTGAACGAAATGGGATAATATTTGAAAGAGAAAACTGAACGAAATGAGAAAATATTTGAAAGAGAAAACTGTACGAAATGAGATAATATTTGAAAGAGAAAACGAAAAGAAATATGATATTTACAAAGTAAATATTAAAATATGAGAATTAAATGATATTATAAATAGTTAAGAATAAATATGTAAAAATGTTCATATGTCCTTCAAAATGTTGAATTATCATAATTTGGCGTATTACAATGATGTAATATTGTAATATGCTACATTCTGTTATAACACTTTTTGAATGATGGCTGTTTTTAACCAAAGACTCTTTTCTTATTCCCACGAGAATGTCTGAATGCTATGGTTAGGATATGAAGTAAAGAAAAGACTATATACCGAAGAGGCTCCCACAAATTGCTGCTCAAGAATGGCAACTATAAACCGTGAGTTATTTTCGAAAGTTCATCAGCATGTTCGACCCTTCTGAGAATGGCTCTTACAATTAGTCATGTTATCAATCAAAATATTCTTATGGTGTCGAGTGTAGAAGTAAATTTGGAAAATACTACGAAATGTTATCTCTTCGTTCTCACATTTTTCCATGAACGCGAATAGAATTCTTTGATATTTACATAAGATTAAAAAAAAAATAATATAAAAATAGAGAGATCGTTAGATCGTGCATTTCTTAACATCTAGTTTCATATAGAGAGATCGAAGATATTACATTCGACAGGATGTGACCAGGTTTTTTAATATAAGGTATTTTTTTAATCTATTTTCAAATGTTGATTAAGGTACCATGGACCGATAAAGAATTGTTTAAATTAGATTTTCATTTAATTTTTTTTTCAATGTGATTAATTACAATTAATATTATATTCAGGCAGAATTTAATTAAGCTTTTATATCAAGTCATTCTTTTAATCATCTTCTATATATTTGCAAGTATTATCGATCAATTAAGAATTGTTTAAATTAAATTTTTTAATTAATTCTCATTTTTCTTATTAATTCTTATTTATTCTTATTCATTTGTATTTATCGAATAATCAAAACGATGATTCTTGTTTAATACAACTTATATTTATAGAATATAAAAACAAAAAAGGAACTTGTTATAATGAATTGCACATGCAATACTTATAAGATCTTTTTCAGTAGTTGAAGAAGCGATAGAATCGGAAATAACGTGAATAAACAAATCGCTTCATTTATTCTTATTAATTCTTATTTATTCTTATTTACAGATATTTATTATGTGGAACTTTCAAATGAAACCTTTGGAAAGCTTTCATTTTTTAAGTAGAGAAAGATCAAGCTCGATTTAAATCAAATAAGACAATTTCCAAGATATCCACTCCACGTTATCAGTTTTTTAAAATTCCATTTTATTGTGTCTTCTGAATTTCTTATTCTCTCCAAAAAGGCTTTTCGTGGGGCTTTATTGATTAAGAAAGGGCTTTTATGATTGGATAGAGTTTTTGTCTTTTTTCTTCTTCTTCTTCTCCTTTAGGAGATCTATTCATCATCGAGGAAATTGCAATCTCATATCATGGATTTAGATTTTTATAAAGATGTTTTCAAAATCTTTCCGCATTAAATGTATCGAGAAGAAAATGTCTATTTCCCGTTTGGTCAGAACAGATAGAATACTTGCAGAAGTGTGGATAGGCACTCACGTGAGCGTTCATGGGCGCTATTAAATCCAAGCTTGGGCTCGAACGTACTTAGGTAGGATACTTTCGCGGTTGTGTCCGGCACACTTGCATAAGTATTTTTAAGTGCGATAAGATTCGATCTTGGGTTTCAACGTACATTGCAGAATCTCAAAAGCTTCTTTAATAAAGGTTACTGAAACTACCTGTGTTGGATGATCTCGTTATCTGTTAGTTAGACTTAAAATACCTGGAGTTGGCGTTGAGATAAGAAATTTCGCGAAAATGTCTGTCATTTCGACATTTAAATTTTACTTTAACTTTTAAATAATGATAGTAATATAAAAGAGTAGAGACACTGTCTTCAATTTGTTTTTCAACAGCAGCAACCTCCATGTGGTGAGATCTAAATACTAAGTACACGATATTACTTTCGATATAATGTGTATTTCGATTGTTAAATTACATATAACAGGAGTATTATAATCCATATAAGTTTATACACCGATGGCGCATAATGGGGACAGTGTCCCTCTATTACATTTTTTATGTAATCATATTTTGTTCATACCTGTCGTTCAGATAAGTTTTTACTAAGGAAAGTTTTGAGGTCAGTGGATCAGAACCTACCGATATTTGACTCATACGGCTGATGGAATCTCATCTATAATGAAGTTTTGTGTAATAAGTGAAACTTCTAATTATTGCATTGGAATTAATCACGTCCGGTGTATCCGAGGATAGACGGTATCGTCCTCTCGCTTTTAGAATTCAAGAGAAAAAGAGAAGAAAAAAAATGAGTTAATTATTTTCGAAAGACATTTGATGAATCAAATCTTTGTATATATATATATATATATATATATATATATATATATATATATATCATTCAAGAGAAAAAGAGAAGAAAAAAATTGAGTTAATTAATTTCGAAAGATATTCAATGAATCAAATCTTTGTATATATATATATATATATATATATATATATATATATATATATATATATATATATCATTTAAGAGAAAAAGAGAAGAAAAAAATTGAGTTAATTGTTTTCGAAAGACATTCGATGAATTAAATCTTTGTATATATATATATATATATATATATATATATATATATATATATCATACGCACGAATGCTTGTATTATTTTTACGTTTATTTTTTATTTATTATTATCACTTTTAATTTATTGGTATCTTTGTATTTAATTAATTTAATATGTTTAAATCGTTTAAAAAACTTTAGAACTCTTAATTATCGTTAATAAAGATTTAATTCATCTTAAATAATATAATTTTAATTAATAGATAATTTTATATAAAGGAAGAATGCGTCACGTTGAATTTCGAAAGTTGATTTATTTCGAAATAAATTCACTTCTGCATCTGCGAATCGAATTCATTTCCTTTTTGCTTGTTTCTTTTCCTCTCTATTTCCTTACGGCGAATCACAAAGCACAGTTATATGGATCTGCATATTTTTATTTCGTTCGTTTCGGCTAATGTCCTTAGAAAACGAGCAAAATTTTATTGTAGATTTTTGTGCAAATCGATCTCGTCTCGTAGGGAAGTTAATTACAAGGTGATTCCTCTCGGCCTCTTTTTTGTTTTTTGTTTTTTCTCTTTAAAATTATAACGCTATAAAACATCGTGCCGTGTAAAAAGTCTTGAAATGCGGTTACTATTTATTTCAGAAATAAAAACGTACTAGTGGATAATAAAAATTATAATGAAGAATTCCTACTAAGATTAACTACTTTCTGGAAAAATATTTCTTTTAGTTTATAGATTACAGTACATATTATAGTATTATTTATTAAAGGATAGAATTAGTTCAAAGTATATTTTACATATGTATATATATATATATATATATATATATATATATATATGTTAGTATTAACTAACCTAAATTATTTATAAATCTTTATGGAGAATAAAACTAATTAATGAAGACAGAGTAATAAATTCAGAATTTCCTAACTTCTGGATTTTTTGAATCGCTTTAATTCATGAGGAAGAAAGCATCAATGAAGGAATCGAAATCGTGAAAGTTTTCTAACAGAGAAAAATTAATGTAATTTGTCAGATAGTTAACGAGATATGTATTTAACAAAGCAATTCGGTTTCTCATTTCTCCTTCTCGATTTCCGATTAAGATTTTTTTTTCCTTGCGTCATCTTGTCCCAATCTCATTTAAGTTT